TGGGCAATTTATCGAGGCCGCTTTTTCTCGAGAGCGAAGATTTGCTGGTTTTGATTCTACTACTCCGCATATTACATGGCTCTTTGCTGGTTCTTGAGAAGGTAGGATTTTTAATATATACTCTTCAATACTTCTTATATATGTGTGTGTATAGTTTTCAATATTCATCAATAATATAAACGCTACCCCACTCATTGTTTCAGGAGGAGAGTGAGGGAGTCGTAGGCCGCCGCCTCCACGACCAACACACAAATGTTGACTTTACTTCTGAATCACAGAAAAGGTAGTGATCATATCAAAGAAATTGCATAAGACTCGGTAAATCTCATATTCGAATATCTGACGCTATCGAATATTTTGTGATTAAAATTCAATTTACATCATCTCATTTAATTGTCTCGATGGTGTTTGGGAGCCCTCAAGGATGAGGTGTCATCCTTTAAATGTAGTGATCATATCGAGTATAAATATATACGATTTTTATTATGTGTCTATTGGGTTAATGGCCTAACAAGGGCCGGCCCATCAACCCCTAGGGACTGTACAAGAGCATCTGTCAACGGGCCCAAAAGAAAGGCTAGGGACAGGGGCCGCACGTAGTTCAACACGGCCAGGCTTCAGGGCCCAAGGGCCAGAAGACGTACATAGCCCAGCATGACCAAGCTTCAGGGTCCAAGGGTTAAGGGACGTACGTAGCCCAGCATGACCAAGCTTCAGGGTCCAAGGGCTAGGGAACGTACTTAGTTCAGCATGACCAAGCTTCAGGGTCCAAGGGCTAAGGGACGTACGTAGCCCAGCATGACCAAGCTTCAGGGTCCGAAGGGCCAGGGGACGTACGTCATATGGGTTTTCTACCCAAGGGTCCAGGCTGCCACTAGAGGGTTGGGTCCAGTCTGAGGGACGAACGTCCCCACGTCATGGCGGGAAGCCAAGATCCTGGCGGGAAACGCATTAAATGTGGGAGATTTGGTGGTTGGGATCATGTCGCCCACAGCCAACCACGTCAGCCCCCAACCACCCTGGGATAATATAAATAGTCACATTTATTTCATTGTAATGGGTTCGCATTTTGACTCTCTAGCATTGTAATAGCAATAACAGCTCATAGCATAGCTTAGTACGTTCGGCCCTTCGACTTGTAATCGTTGAAGCCGAGAGTAGTCGAGGTGACCTTGAAATGTTATTTACTTAGATGTTATTTACTTAGTACGTTCGGCCCTTAGGTGACCTTGTAATAGCTTAGTACAAAAATTATTGAAATGTTATTTACTTAGATGTGAAATGTTACTAAATGGAAATTGAAATTTAAAATTGATGTTACTTCAATTTCAGCGAGACGGGGTGGCAGATCGGCTTCCGACTCATCGTCGTGCTTCGTCCAACAGTGTTTGATGACCTTGAGGATCGAGACCCTCTTCTTCACAGGCCTGCCTTCATGGTTCGAAAAAGGTTTAAAATCCATAAATAAATGTAAAAGGGTTAAAATGGTGTAAGGTTTATTTGAATAAGACTTACAAGAGCTTCCTTATGTTTACTCTGAGGTTTGCGGCCCCCATGCCATTATGTCTGTAATACCTTCTCGGACATCCGGTTTTTCTTCTCGGCTTCGCTTCTAGCCAAGAAGTTCGGATCTGAAGACCAGTGGCGGACGAGGTTTTCCCACACCTCATCCGAACACCATCCTGGCCTTACCCCTCTAGCTCGGGCACGCCTAAAGGTGGGACGAAGCCAGTTTGAAATTCTAGCGTTATACGCTCTAAGAATATCGGGGCCATGTGCTTCAGTCCATCTAAATTAATTTATCATTTGTCAAATTTTAAGTCACTACAATTACGTAGGGAATATTCATTTTTTTACCTTGAACATGTTCCACCAAAGTTCACGGACCTTGGGGTCAACATTGCTGTAGGTTGCCCAGTTCCCAAGAAAGTGTTCACCAATTATGTTTTTGATTTGGTCCAGCACTTGTTGATCGCTTCAAAAAATTAATGATATTTTGTTATATCCGTTTTTGTTAGATTATTTGACATTAGATGAAATTATTTGACGTTAGGTAAACTTAATAGTTATTTAGCGACCATGTGAGGTGTCACCCAAACTGAATTTTCATTGTTGCGCTCTGCTTCGGTTAGGGGCGCATAGTTCGGTCGGGCACGTGAGGTTGACTGTTCATTGCTCATCTAAAATATATTAATTTATATTTTTAAATGTTAGCGTAAACAAAATATAAGATGAAATTTTTGTACAAGTTTTATCGATTGAAAATGTGTATAACATATTAAACTGTGTATTAGTCTAATATGAGGGGTCGATTTTTTTCAATTATAAAGAAGTTATAAAAATCATATTAAATTGTGTATGGGTATTAGTCTTTATAAACTTTTTATAGAGAAGTTATAAAAATCATTTTAATACATTAAAAAATAGTTTGACTTATCAAAAATTAAGTTTTTGTATTTAAATAAGTTTTTGTATTTAAAGTTTATAAAAAACAATTTTGTATAAAAACAGTTTTGTATAAAAACAGTTAAACATAAAACAGTTTTGTATAAAAACAGTTTTGGATAAAAAGAGTTTTCTGAAAAGAGTTTTCTAAAAACAGTTTAAAAAAAACAGTTTTATAAAAACAGTTTTATATAAAAGCAGTTTTATATAAAAACAGTTTTATATAAAAACAGTTTTATATAAAAACAGTTTTCTATAAAAAATAGTTTTATAAAAATAGTTTTATAAAAACAGTTTTTATAAAAACAGTTTTATAAAAACAGTTTTATAAAAACAGTTTTAAACCTCATTTTTAAATAAATAAGTTTTTTTTTGTATAAAATCAAATTTTGTATTTATTCATATGCCAATTTTGTAAAAAAAAAGTTTTTTTTAAACTGTTTTTTATAATCTATATTTTATATATTAAATTTCAGAAAACAGTTTTTAATGTCTTAATTAATATTTTATAATTAACATGTTAAACTTTTTTAAGAGTTTGATATGAGGGGGTATTTTTTTAAAAAAATTCGGGTATAATAATTTTGATAGATGATAAAATAATAATAGCCCTAACAATGTCCAAAGAATTCTATTGAGCATGCTTCATTCTAAGTCCAAAAAATAGTCCAAAATAACCTAAATAAATACATAGGCATGCATATTAAACCTACACACAAAACTAAATCATGTAATATTGAGCATATAAAACATGTAATAAACTAAATTATATTAAACATGTATACCAACTAAAGAAAATTATAAACTATATCATATTTCGAAATTTAATACTCCCTCCGTCCCCTGTTATTGTCCCATTGCGGTTTACGATGCTTGACTGTCGATAAAGCAAACCGATCCATGTCCGCACTCAAATTATTTTTAGCAAAAAAAATTACATATTCAGAAACTATATTAAAAGATTTACAAAGTCGCAAAAACCAGAATCAGATTTGATAAAAATTTGATACATAAAGTAAGAGATTAAGAGTGATTTGTGTTGATCAAGTGAATAGGAAATGGGACAATAACAAAGGGACGGAGGGAGTAGTAAACATGTATTTCGAAAATTATTTTACGAATATTAAAGAAAATTATAAACTAAATCATATTTCGAAATTTAATAGTAAACATGTATTTCGAAAATTATTTTTCGAATATTTAAGAAAATTATAAACTAAATCATATTTCGAAATCATATTACTACACAAAACATGTATAAAAAACTAAAAATCATGCATAAATCAAATTGAGCATATAAACTAAATCATATTACACATGTATCAATACACAAAACCGAAAATTAAAATACATAAAACAAATTGATAATTTCGAAAATTATATAAAACTAAAAAATCATGTACATAATCATGCATTTGAGTGTATTTCAACAAAAGAGCAGGCACTTTAATAATGCGAACATACTTATAATAACATGCATTTTTGGAATAAAAATCAAATACTAAAAATAAGAATGAAAAGTAATTTAAATTTCAAACACATAACCTTGATGAAGAGGACGGCGAAGAGGGACGGAGGTAGCTACCGGACAACAGCGGCGGACGGTGGCAACGGACGGCGGAAGGCGGCGATGGAGGTGGAAGGTGTTGGCGGACAGAGAGAAGAAGTAAATAAAGGGTGAAAGGAGGATTTTAGGGTTGGGAGAATGGGTGGAATGAAAAAAATTGCTAAGTATGGCTTTTATATAATGGCGTAGTCACGGATTTAGTCACGGATATATCTGTGACTACGCCTTCGTAATTAACGAAGTCAGATGCAGAAGACGAGATGTCAGGGCTGCCTTTGACCGGTTTAGTCACGGGCGGATCCGTGACTAATTAAAATCCAGTCATTTGTCAGCTGCTCGGCCTGGTCGGCGACAGGGAATAAATTCCCTTAGTCACAGACTAATCCGTGACTTTTTTTGTATAAATAAGTGATGCCCGGTCCAATATTTGTGTGGAAAATAAAATGGCTAATCGAGAACCAATTGACTGGGATTCGATGTGTAGAAGTATGAAATGACTTAAGCTAATTACACAGCTTATGGAGCCGAAAACCGTTGAAGCATGTCAGAGAATCAGGGAGTTGATGGCTAGACCTCTTGAAAGTTTTGGCGACTATAAAGATGAGGAATCTGGCTCAATCGGCAAGTCAAAAGTAAATAACTTGTGTTGAATGCTTCAACGTGCAGAAGAATGTTCGGAGTATATGGACCCGATCAACGAAGAAGCTCAAAGGAAAATTAACGAGTTGTGGGCTAGACCTCTTGAAAGTTTTGACATTGATGAATAATTATGTATTTGTTTGTTTGGTTATGATAAATGAATAATTCTGTATTTTTTTGTTTCGTACTTATCTTTTAAATTTGATAAATAAATTTGTTTATATGAATTAATATGGAGTAATTATTATTTCACAAATAATAATGATGAAGAAAAAAATCAAATATTGTTGGAGTAATATAATTATGAAGAAAAGAGCACAAATATTCGAAGTCAAACAAATTGTAATTACAGCAACACAATTAGTCACTATCAGAATCGTTATTTTGTACATATACAACATCTTCTTCTGTATCAGAACCGTCTATCCATTCTCCTTCTTCCTGATATTGAGCATTTTTGTTGTTCTTCATGCATTTCGGATGGAGTTGTTAGGTCCGGAAGGTGCGTTTCTGGCATGACTTCAACACTTCCGTCATTTGGATCACTTAACTGAATGTGATGGTTGACCGTCTCAACAATAGGCGGAGGTTGGCAAAATTGTTGCTAAAAAGCATCTAAATCAACGTCCTTGTGTTGAGTTTGTGATACAATTTTGCTCGGACGGACTGGACATGCACACACCCAAGGATTCTGTGTCAGCCTGGTTGAAGGGTATTCTGCCTAATAAACTTGGGCTGCTTGTTGAGCGAGTATAAAAGGCTCATTTTTCCTATACACGCGAGAGTGGTTGACGTCAATCATATTATACTTTGAACTTTTTCTCACACCACGTGTTGGATCGACCCATTTGCTGCGGAATAAAATGCATGTCAAATTTTTCCCACCAGAAGGCATTTCAAATTCCAGAATCTCATGCAAGATACCAAAAAAATTGGTTTCCGAGTTATCATAACTGATAGTTGGGACACATAACCCGTTGTTCATTGTTGGTCGGCCCTGTCCGTAATTGACTGTGTGATAGGTGTAACCGTTTATCACATATGACCGCCAAACTTTAGCGTAGGCACCAGGCCCCAACGATAATGATACTAATAATATATATAATTAATGTGTGTGTATATATACCTGATACTTGTACCACGGTACAAAATTAGAGTCCACCATTGCATCAATTTCATTATCAGGGAATGCTGAGAACTCCGCTCTAAATTCACTGTGAAGTCAAACATGAAAATATTATAAATCATCTACCATAATTTTTATATATATTACAAATATAACTACAAATTTAACTTACTGGTAAAACGGTAAGATTTCTGGACAATTCATGAGGATATAAGTATGCGCAATTTGTAAATCTCCACCCACGACGTATCGGTTTGTTGCAGCTCCTTTACCTCTACCTGGGTAATTGAAAAGGGAAACTACATTTTCGTATTGATCCTCGTCAATGTCATCGTTCCGGGCAGGTCTCTTTCTTCTAGTGATGACTTCACGCTCAAAATAAAAAGATGAGAACGTTGAGATTTCTTGTTGAAGATACGCTTGACAAATTGATGCCTCAAAGTGTGCCTTGTTGGTCACTTTCTTTTTTAACTCTCCAAGAAATCTGCAATGTAAAATAAAAGTGGTACACAGATTAATGTTGTTATGAAATAAATATTCAAAGATAAATGAAATTGTGACTAACCTTTCAAATCTGTACATCCAGCGATAGAAGACGGGCTCACCATTCAAAACCTCATACGGAAGATGTATTACAAGATGTTCCATTCCATCGAAAAACGATGGAGGCGTTTTTTTTTTCAAATTACACATCAGCATGGGAATAGACTCTTCTAGTCTTCGGAGGGATGTTGCATCCAAAACGCTTGAACATATCGACTGAAACAACAAACTGATCTCAGTAATGCAGGACCATACGTGTTCAGGAAGCATCTCTTTCAGTGCAATTGGGAGAAGTCTTTGCATGATTACATGAGTATCGTGAGTTTTCATGCTTGACGTCGTTGAAAGTTTGTTCATGTCCACGCATCTGGATAAGTTGGAGCAGTAGCCATCTGGAAACTTTAAAGACACAAGCCATTGTAATATTGATTCCTTTTGTGCTTCTGTGACCTGGTAGACTGCTTTTGGAATATTGCTACCTTGATATTCTAGATCAACAGAAAGTTCGGGTCTGTCACACCAAATAGTCATATCTTTTCGAGATGCAAGACCGTCTTTAGTTTTGCCTTTGAAATCCATCACTATATTAAATATATTGTCAAACACGTTCTTCTCAGTGTGCATGACATCTATATTGTGACAAATGAGAAGGTCTTTCCAATATGGTAACTCGCAAAATATACTCCTCTTTGTCCACTTATGGGTATCACAAAACACACATGGCTTCTTATTTGGCTCTTGCACAACCGTAGGAATACGTCGAACCCGGTTAAAAATTGCTTCCCCGGTCAATCTCGGGGGCGGGGTGTCTCGTACCACTCTACCTCTAATGAAAGACTTTTTGTCCATTCGATATCGGTGGTTTTCCGGGAGAAACTTGCGGTGACAATCAAAGTAGCTTGGTTTTTTACTGAAAGTTAGCTAATTGGCACCTGATTTCTCCATGCATATCGAACATCCCATAAGACCGTGTGTGCTCCACCCCGAAAGCATGCTATATGCAGGGAAGTCGCTAATGGTCCAAATGATGGCAGCTTTCATGATAAAATTTTGAACCCTTGAAACATCATAAGTTAGTGTCCCAATGGCCCAAAGTTCTTTCATCTCCTTGATAAGGGGTTGGAGATAACTGTCTATCTTTTTTTCCTGGATCATTGGGACCCGGATAGATTAAAGTCAAAAAGATAAAGTGACTTTTCATGCACATGTAGGGAGGGAGATTGTAAGGAGTTAACATGACCGGCCAACATGAATAGTTCTTCCCAAACCTTCCAAATGGAGCAAATCCGTCTGAACACAATCCCAGTCGCACATTTCGTGGCTCCATTGCAAACTGAGGTTGACAACGGTCAAAGTGTCTCCAAACTTCACAGTCCGAAGGGTGAGACATCATACTCTCTTTGGTTTCGTGCTCAACATGCCATGTCATGTGTTTCGCAGTAGCAATCGAAGCGTACATCCTCTGAAATCGTGGAGCTATTGGGAGGTAATACAGTTTAGATAAATGCTGACCTATTTCGTGGTTTCTTTTTACTTTGAGGGACATGTTTGTATCTGTTTCCACCACAGAACTTGCAGAATTCAGGTGCCTCATCATCCTTCCAGAACAACATACATCCTTCCGGGCACGCATCAATTTCTATATAAGGTAGCCCCAACTTAGACATTAATTGTTTCATGTGGTAATATGAATCGGGGAGGTTATGATCACGTGGTAGCATCCCGTCTACTGACTGCAAGACTTTAGTCATGCAAGTTTCAAGGAGACTGTATTCAGCTTTTATGTTCATAAACTCTGTAACGGCGGATAGCTGAGAGTATCCGTCACAATCAGCATACAGGGGTTGATCGGCTGCTTTTAAAACATCTTGAAATCTTTCAGCTAAACCTTCATCCATATGGTTGATAAAATATCAGACTTTCATCCTCATCTGGTTGATACGACGTCGAGGCTTCAGGAGGATCGTTAGATAGTTGTGGGGGGTGAACTGAGACATCGATGCACCGTATGCGTCATATACCATACATTGCTGCCATCTCATTTCAGCAGGGTCTCCCACGCACTCATCTGTGCAGGGACGTTACGAGACGAACCTACCGTTTGTGGTAAAACAGATGGATCCAAAGGTTCGCCATGAGAAGTCCAATTATAATAATTGGGAACGAAACCGTCCGCGTACAAATCCCACTCAACTTCATCTGGGTGTTTAAATTTGAGATTTTTACACTTTGAACATGGTCATCTGATTTTATCACCACTCATATAAGTCGGGTGTTCAAGTGTGAATGCAATAAACTCCTCAACTCCTTCAAGAAAATTTGATTGCATTCCGTACAATAACGCATGTTTATCATACATCCAAATTCTATTTTGTCTATACGTTATGCCTGAATATTAAAATAAAAAACTTATACAGGTTTAAAACTCTAAATTATAAACATTACCAACATATGTGGAGTATTATTAATATATTAAATTTCACTAATTAAAGTTCAATGCAATTAATTCACTAGATGAACTAATATGTTCATATAATATCATTAATCATTTCAATTATTAACTAATAACCAATATTATGATTTCAACACTAAATACACTAAATTATTACGTTAATGACATTAATTAATTCATAAACATTAACAATAATTTTTTATGTGTACGGACATTTATATATTAAATTTCACTAAAATTCCCTTAAAATTAACTAACGTCCAATTAATATTATTAAACTATAAACATGCACAATATGCTAATGGCATTTAATCCACAATACTAAAATTATCAACATCTTAATCTTATTAATAATGCACATTTAACATTTCACTAAATTAAATAATATGAGCAAATCCAATAATTTGAGCATATATATATATATATATATAAACTCATTTAAATTAAACAATACTCAAATTTAACTAATATTATAAAAAATTTAACTAATTTATGTAATTCATAATAATAATTCATCATACTTAAGTAATGTTTCAAATAACTAACCCTAATTTAAATCATTATAAATCCTAAATTAGGCATTAACAATAATTGCTAATAAAGAAATTAAATCCTATAATTATATTTAACCATATATAAACTCATTTGAATTAAATAATACTTGCATTTAACTAATATCATCTAAAATTTAACTAATTTACGTAATTTTAATTAAATACAACTTAATTAACCCTATGTTTAAATTACATCTACGTTTAACTAATTTTAAGGAATTTATTTCATTAATTAATTAACAACCTTTTTTTAAATTCATTTAATTTAAATTTAACTAATATTAACAAAAGTTTAACTAATTTAGCTAATTAATTAATTTAACTTAATGCGTCACTACGATTAAACCTACGTTTAAGTAACTAATTTTTCACTAAATTAAATGAAATTGACATAATTCGTTACTTAAATAATAATCTCTCTAATTTAACAGTTTATTACACTTAAAATGAACCAACTAATTCATACAAAAAAATACGTAATTCAAATTACATACCTTATCTGCATAAACAGGGAAAATGATATAAGATAGCTAGATTACATCCTTCAATTCAATCTGGAACAGTTGGTGTGGTTTTGTTGAATGAATGTGATGCTGCATATATAAAATTATTAGTCACGGACGTAGTCATGGATGTGTCCGTGACTACGTAATTTCGTACGATTTATCAGTACACTTTAAATTTGGAGCGTTGAAAAAATTAATTTTGGAACTTGTCACGGAATTAGTCACGGAATTATCCGTGACTAAACTTAGTCACGGAATTAGTCACGGACGAATTCAAATTTAAAAAAAAACGCCGAAGGCAAAATTGGGTTGGCCGGAATAGGTTAGTCACGGATTATATCCGTGACTAACCGTAGTCACGGTCCTATCCGTGACTATTTTATTTTTAACAATCCGTGACTAGCCCGTGACTACAGGCGAATTTTTTTGTAGTGTATGTAGTACGGAGTGAAAAAACTTGACTTTCATGATGGCTAACCCGATATCCTTTTATCGGGTGATGTTCTTCTCCGTTTCATTTTCATCATTTCATCCTCTTTTGGAGGTGGAGATAGGGAGGGGTTGGAGGGAGCATTGGTGCCTGCAAGAAAAAAAATCTTAATTATATATCATGTATAAATACTTTGAATTTAGAAAAAATATGTTAATATTTTAAACTTTGACTCCTACAAGGTAAAATTCTCTTAATCATAAATTTATGACTCTGTCCTCTTCAATTATTTTTTACTATATCTCTATCATACAAACCACAAATCATACTAGACTATTTTTCCATACACCACCCACCATCTTCTTATCTCTCTCACTCTCTCTTATAGACAATATATCTTCAACCTGTGAAAACACCTCTTATTTCTCGTCCCATATGTTATCCTTGTTTCTCTAATGTGGAGTAATAAATTGCACTTTTGTATAACTTGGGGCGCGCCTACTCAATTCAGATTTGAGGGTGACTTTTTATGCAGGGAGATATGCACAAACCAAGTATTGCCCTAGTGACACAATTTGCTCTCTTGAGAAAATATTTATTCTCTTAAAATTCAATAATTTGTTCTCGAGTTGATAAAACGGATAAAATCTAGATCAGCTAGTCGGAATAAATAGACCATGTATGTAAATAGTATTCTCTTCGTTCCAATATCATCTTCAAATTTTCTTTTTCTGTTCGTCCCGAATTGTTCTCTTTTTTGCAAAAAAATTATAGTTCCCAATATTTCTTACACATTTTTCTATTCGTTACCAAACTTTTCACAATACATATAGGAGGTGTTTGGAACTGATTCTGCTTCTGCTTCTTTTTTAAAGCAGAAGCAGAATTAGAATCAGTTTTCAGAAGCTGGTCACCCCTAGCTTCTAAAAATACTGATTCTATGAGTAAATTAGAGCATCAGAATCACTCTTTCACTTACACTCAAACACTCCAACTTCTCTCCCTGAAGGAGCAGAAGCAGTTTTAAGAAGAAAAAATGACCCGATTATTACTAATGGGCTTTTGATTTCCAGATATATGACTCTTTTTACATTTTCCCAAAAAGTGATCCGCAGAGAGCCTTCCCCTTCACCATCCGCAGAACATTTCTTTATCGCACTCCTTCGCCCTAACCGCAACATACCTCCAACGCCGCAGAGAGCCTCTGCTATTGCGCCTCCGCCAGCGCGCCTCCATCTCCGGTGTTCCAGTCCCGCTCCGATCTTTGTCGCGCAAACTTATTCCTCCTCACGTCGTCGTTTCCGGTCGTCGCCATCTTTCTACACCACGCCGATCTTCTTTCTCTTCTCTTTCTGTTCAATTGTAGGGAGGTTACAGGCGACCGTAAATGCTAGAGCTCCATTTATGTTGGCTAAGCTTAATTGCAGCGGCCACATTCCAAATCTAATTTGGATGACTGGGATTTCTAGCTAGGGTTGGGCGATGGTGGACTGGTTGGCCGGTGGTGGGCGATGGGGTGTGGTTATTGCGGCGGCGAGGCTGGGGTGGTGGCAGTGGCAGCGGAGGGCTAGGCTAGGGTGATGCAGGGCAGGGGGCTGAGGTGAGGATGGGGTCAGGCAGGGGGGCTGACCGACTGGGGTCAAGCAGGGGACTGGACGGCTGGGGTTAGGAATGGGGTCAGGTAGAGGGCTCATGTGAGGCGGGAGCTATGGTGACGCAGGGGAGGGGGCTAGGTGAGGCAGGAGGCTGGGGTGTGGTGGTCGCCGACGGTGGCAGGAGTTTGTGGACGCCGGAGGGCTAGATCGGGGCTGGTCGGAGCTGGGCTGTGGGCAGGGGAGGGGTGTTGGGGGTTGAGGTGCTGATGCGTGAGGCTAGGGAGGGGGAAGGGCTGTGTACGATGGAGGTGATGGAGGTGTTGGCGGAGTGCCGGTGCCGGTGGGGCGCCGGTGACGGTGTGGGGCAGATTTGGGTGGCCGGTGACGGTCTCCGGGCGGCGGTGTTGGAACAGGCTGAGTGTGAGTGTGAAGTTGGGGTGGCGGCTGAACGGCCGCAGTGCAGGCGGCAGCGATTTCACGAATTGAAAACGGTTGCAGTGACATGTTTTCCGGTAACATTGAGTCAGTGACATTTAAAAGTACATACAAACCTGGTAGTGACATACAATAGTGACATAAAAAATCTGGCAGTTACATAAAAAATTCGCAGTGACATTAAGTTTTTCTAAAAATGTGACCTTCTAAGTCACTTTTTTGTCCTTTTATAAAAATGGTTATATTTTTGAAAATTGGCATTAATTTAGTAATATTCAAGGCAAAAGCCTTTTAAGAATCAAATTTAAACATCTCCGTAAACTATTTTAATCTTTGTGTTAATTACTTGATTGTACTTTAAGAGATAAATATGGAACACCGACAGTACCGATTATCCCGCTACCGAGTTACGGAGTACCCTTTGCTGGATACGACGTATCATGTTTCTTTCGTAAATTTGCTCCGTTTAAACAACATTGACAAGTCAGAGGAAGACTCCGGAGTTAGGAAAAACGTGCAGCACTGCTATACCATCAATATAGTCAACCTACAAAGTGGTGACCCCACATTTTCTCCAATTATTGCACGTTCCTCAGTGGCAAGTTGCGAAAGAACCTTCTTTGGAGTCATGGGAGGATAAAGTCAAATTATTCCATGAACTATTTTATACACATTTTTTGTACACATAACAGGTAATAGCTTGTCCACACAAGTAAGAATGTTTTTGCTTAGACTGTTTTCTGTTTCAGATTACATCAGATTTAAACAGATCAGATCAAATCAGATCAGATTTAAACACATGAAATCAGAATTTCATAGTTATAAAATACACATAGCTAAAACCCTTTTGGATATTCACTCCAAGAAGGATACTCTGTGAGTAAAATGGGTGCATATGTTATATATTAAGGGCAAGCGTGTGTGGGATTGGGCAACTCGAGCTCGGTGTCCCCTCTTCTAGCTAAATTGGTGAAGATAAAAGAAGAGGTGATTCTTAAAACTTGAGGAAAGACACATATGGTACATCAAGTGAACTCATTTTGCCTTAATATGATTTGCTTAGAAGCAAAGGGAGTAGCAACTAGCAAGCCGTGGATGACATTATAGGACTTTTAATAGCTTGATGATATTATTTGGTCCTGTGATTGGTGTCCTTGAAACAATGATTGATGATGTTTCTTGTGATGTTTGTGGTCCGGCTAGGACTCTGTTAGATGGCCTACTTTCTTTTCATTTTATTTTGATGCTATATTCGATGGTTGATGTGTTAGGGGTGACGAATGATGTGAATATGGCTTTGCAAAGACGTGACCAGGACCTTTTGAATGCATTGACTCTTGTGAAGATATGCAAAGCGAGAGTCCAAAAGATGAGAGATGACGGATGGGAAGCTCTCTTGGGAAGAGTTGTTACGGTTTGTACAACTCATGATATTCATGTTCCTAATATGGATGGTCCCTATCACTTATCAAAAAGATCCCACCGTCAAACTTCTTTTGTTACGAATTTGCATCATTACAAGACTGATTGTCTTGTTAGCATTTTAGATTTGCAATTGAAGGAGCTTAATTCTAGATTTGATGTGGAAAATACTGAGCTATTACATTGTGTTGCATGCTTAAGTCCTGCCTCTAACTTTGTGGATTTTGATGCGAAGAAGTTGTTGAGAATGACATCTTTCTATCCGGATGATTTCATTGATGAGACTAAATCTTCTTTATGCAATCAGTTTGCTAACTACTATACATTGAGGATATGCATTTGAATTCTCGTTTTTTGTTGTGAATGAGGTCCATGACCAAAAAAAGTTTTCTCACAGACGATAGGTATAAGAATGTGTATAAAAGTGTGTACAAGTAACAAACTTGGAATCGTAATGTGGTGCGAACGAACGATTCCACTAATATGTCTTTTCACTATCTATTTTTCGCCCCTAAAATGTACTGTATTATTTACTTGGCCTATTCTTTTTTATTTTATTTTTCCTTCTCTATCAAAATAGTAAAAATTCAATTGTAATTTACTTTTCTTTATTTCAACTTAAATTAGAACACAATCTATTTTTTTTTCTTTTCAATTCATACCAAAACATTTATTAATCTAAATAAAATAAGTATATTACATTTCATATTCATACACTATTTTTATTTGTGTAATATATTTTTTATTCATACACTTTTTGTAATATTTATTTATATTAATACACTTTTTCGTATAATAATGTACAGAGTATTTTTTATCTCTTTTATATGTTTTTAGAGGTTTATTTAAGACATTGAGTTTGTTTATTTCAATTTCTTGAATTACATTTGATAATATATGGGGAGTGACATATTCTTATGCGTGAGTTACATCTTTTTATACGCGAGTTAAATTTTTTTATGCGTGTGTTACATCTTCTTATGTGGGAGTTACATCTTTTTATGCACGATAATTTACATCTTTTTATGCACGAGTTACATTTTCCTAAGTGTAAATTACACTTTCTTATGCGCAAGTTAGATCTTTTTATGCGCGACTTGCATCTTTTGATGCGCGACTTACATTTTCTTATGTGCGAGTTACATTTTGTTATTCGCGAGTTGCATTTTCTTATGCTTCAGTTACAACCTCTTATACGCAATGTTGATGACAAACCTTAGGTGCCAGAGACAGTCCTGCAGATTAGTGTCTAAACAACGAGATCGAAACATAGTAGAGCAGTTTTAAGTGTTGCAGCAAAAAATAAGTAGGCACCTGATTATTTCCCCCTTTTGGCATCAACCAAAAGGAAACGAAAAATGATCAAAACAGTGCCAGACAGTAAGTAAGTGTAAGTAAGGTATCCCAACCCAAAAGCAGAATATTTGAACAAGGTGTTTATGGTAGCAAATTAATCTTCATCGGATGAAGAGACGATCCTTCTGTGGAGCCCTTCACTGTCTTCCTCAAACTTGGCCAACACCTCACTTTGAAAAGATTTTAGATCTGTGCGAACTTCATCAAGCCGACAGGAAAGCGTTGTCACTGATTCTGCCAATGAATCAAACCGTCGTAGCAACGTGAGCTCCATAAGGTGTACCTGTTCTTTGACAAGGGTGACAAAATGCATTGGATCAGTTGGACCAGGCTTCGGTTTAGGAGCTTTGGCTGAGGGAATGGGTGTAAGCATTTCCTTGAAGACGAGCTTGGAATTATGGACAACTATGCCATAGTTTTGGAGGCCCTTAGTGTCAAGATTCTTGTGAATTATGTGGTAGGGAAGGTTATCTAGAGAAACTCCCTTTTTGACAAACAGTTGTGTCAGGATAGTACCAAAGAGGATCCCAACCTTCCTAGAGCGATCACTGATGGTAAACTTGAGATGAGCAAGCATAAGGCCAGGTAGATTAATTGGAATTTTAGTGGCTAAAAGATACATGTAGGCAACTTCTAGTCTAGATGAAACCAGCCTTCCTTCCAGGCGAGGAATAAGGTTGGAGTGAACAAAGTAGAATAGCAGTTTGTGAACAGGGGAAAGATTACTCACATGAAGGGAAAGACCGGATACATTTGGGTCAAAAAAATTTACGACATCAATCTGGGTGACAGTGGACAGTGGACATCCCTCTTTCTTATATAGACACTCACTGAAATAGGGAACATCTAAAACCTTAGCAAGTTCTTGGGTAGTTAAACGTAACTTAGTACCACGAACGCGAGAAACCAGCACATTTTCTTTAATGATAAGATTGGCCAGAAAGTCAGACAAACAGTCAGGGTAAACGGAGCAGCAATATTTAGTTTCAAAAAGATGCCCCCATTTTTGAAAAGCAATGAGTTCTACAAAGTCAATGGTTTGAGATGAGAGTTCGGTGAAAGGAATATCGATTACCTTTACTATGCCTCTTTCCATATATGTTGCTTTGAGTCTGAGAGCGTCTTCTTCTGCAACTTTCCCTATTTTAGGGATTTTTTTGGTCGATTCCTCTCCAGGGATGATACCTTCGGCAATGTCTCGTTTTCTGGTGTATTTTCGAGGAAGAGTTTTCTCATCGCGAGTGAGGGATTTGTTCTTAGACTGCTTGACCGGAGAGGGAGTGGTTGAGGATGGTGGAGCTTCTTCTTGTCCCCCCTGAGACGAAGCAGGAGACGGTGGTAATGACTCGGATTGTTCATAGTGCATGGTGGAAGGAGGCGGAGATTCAAGATCTATTGGAGTGGGTGAAAAAGGTTTTGATGGCTGTGTGTTTCTTTTCCGACCCGAGCGTCGAGGTGCGGTTGGAGGAGCACATCCCCTGGTTTTAACCATGGTGGTTTAAGAAAGAGGGAAGGAGGAGTTTATGAAAGGTGGGCGAGTTTGGAAGTGGGTGGTTGCATAGATACTTAGGGATCTTTTACACTTCCCAAAAATAATCTTAATGATTTCTTTCCAAATTCAATTTTATTCCTAATTGAATGAGATGTCCGGTTGATTAGCTAGCTCCACACCCAAAGATATTTGTGCACTTTTAAATACTTTGTTAATTTAGGTAGTTTAAAGATCAGTTCCATTGATAAAACTACTTGCTATTTTGGAATCTATGAAAATTAAGGAAAAAAGATTCCCCCTAAGTTGGAAAGTAATTTTAAAAAAAAAGTTTAAAGGAGAAAATAAAGTTAAGCATTGATAAGACCGAGTTCAATTCGAATTATTTCAAACCTTTCTCTTCACATGGGCTTGGTAAAGATGTCAGCAATTTGTTTGTCGGTATTGCAGTACTCCAGCTTGATTAACCCCTTTTCCGCACAATCTCTCAGAAAATGATGGCGGATATGGATATGTTTCGTCCGAGAATGCATGACCGGATCTTTTGAGATGTTGATTGCGCTAGTATTGTCACATAGAATAGGCGTGCACTTTACGTCAATTCCGTAGTCGCTTATTTGTTGCATGATCCATAATGATTGGGAACAGCATGATGCAGCTGCTACGTATTCTGCTTCGGCCGTTGAAAGAGCAACTGAATTCTGTTTCTTCGAACTCCATGAAACTAGGCAAGGACCTAGGAAATGAGCCGTTCCAGACGTGCTTTTTCTATTCAATAAATCACCTGCAAAATCAGAGTCTGAATATGCAATAAGATTAAAATCTTCATTGTGTGGATACCATAAGCATAGATTCATAGTTCCTTTGAGGTATTTGAGGATCCTTTTGACTGCTTTGAGGTGAGACTCCTTAGGATTTGCCTGGAACCGAGCACATAGACCTACACTAAAAACAATGTCAGGTCTACTGGCGGTTAGGTACAGTAGGGACCCAATCATTCCTCGGTACATCTTCTGGTCTACGCTTGTTCCCTTTTCATCTGCATCCAGCCTTTCATTTGTTCCCATAGGTGTTGTCATTGTTTTGCTTTCACTTGCTCCATATTTCTTGAGTAATTCCTTAAGATACTTTTGTTGGGATATTTGGGTTCCTTTGCTTGTTTGTTTGATTTGCAGACCAAGGAAAAATTTAATTCACCCATCATGCTCATCTCGAACTCGAGCTCATAAGAGAAGAAAATTCATCACAAAGTGAATCGTTAGTAGCACCAAAAATAATATCATCTACATAAATTTGAACGACCAATAGGGCTTGATCTTTTATTTTTAGAAAAAGAGTTTTATCTATTTTTCCTCTTTCAAAACCATTTTCCAAAAGAAATTTTGATAGTCGCTCATACCAAGCACGAGGTGCTTGTTTGAGACCATACAGTGCTTTATCTAACTTGAAAACATGATTAGGGAAATCTGAATTTTCAAACCCCGGTGGTTGTTCCACGTATACCTCTTCCTTAAGATAACCATTAAAGAAGACCGTTTTCACATCCATTTGATGGAGTGTGAATCCCATGTGAGCCGCAAATGCAATGAGCATTCGTATTGCCTCTAATCTTGTGACTGGTGCAAATGTTTCGTTGAAATCTATTCCTTCCTGTTGGTTATAACCTTTTACAACAAGCCTTGCTTTGTTCCTTGTGATTTGTCCATGCTCATCAAGCTTGTTCTTAAATACCCATTTGAGACCTATCACGGTTTTATTCTTAGGTCTTGGTTCTAAATGCCACACCTTGTTTCTCTTAAATTGATTTAGTTCTTCCTGCATAGCTAGAACCCAGTCAGCATCGGAGAGAGTCACTTCATGGTTCTCCGGTTCTATAAGTGATAAATAAGCAAAGAAGGCGCAAAAATTTCTAAGTTTAGATCTAGTGGTTACTCCCTGATTTAGATCTGTTAAGAGGTTATCCAAGGGATGTGATCGATGATGCTTCTACCCTCTTGGAGCGTTTGGTTGGTCCACCAGTTCGTATAGGGTATCTGGAACTGGACCAGCAGGTTCTACAGTCTGACTGGCTGTGGTCTGCCCTGGTTCTTCTTCAGTTCTAGACTCAGCTCGTTCGTTTTCCAGTGGTTCTTCAAGGTTTGTCTCACGGTTTTCTTGGGGATGTCTTTCTTTACGAGAGAGTCCTATGTCTCCTTCATCATCTTGCCTTGGTTTTAATGAAAGGGCTTCGTCAAAGATTACATGGATACTTTCTTCCACGCATTGTGTGCGTTTGTTTAGAACTTTGTAAGCTTTG